GCCACGACCTCAGCAGCAGCCCTGGAACAGCAAATCTCTTTAAATATGTATTCCATTGAGTTAATGAACAAGTTGCTGCATCTGTTTCTCCCTAGAAGCTACTCGCAGGGAGAATTTGCCTGCTCTGGTTTTTGTTTTTATAATTAAGGCTGGATTGCTGCTTCTAGCTGCCCCCAGCAGCATCTGCTGGCTGAAGAGGTTCATGTCCTGCACAGCCCACCATCACCGGCAGCCCTCAGGCTTTCATGGCCACCGTGCTCCCCTTGGAGGGAGAAGCCCTGCCAGAAAGAACCATGAGGTCTATTGGACCTGGTGGGATAACAGCATCCTTGCCCAAAGGCTCACCAGCACAGGCATCGCAGTGGCGACGCAGCCCCCGGTTGGGATGCGCAAGCCCAGCCCTTCCCAAGGAGGTGGTGTGGACAGCACAGTCTCCATTTCTCCACCCACCAGCACAAATCCTTAGAGACATGTAAAAGGCAAGTTACTGCCCATGTCCTCCACCTCCAGCAGCACTTTAGATGTGCTCAGCATCTCACTACCTGCTGAAAGCAACAGCTACCAGGTGCCAATGAAGCCAGGCTTGAGACCCATCCACACAGGGAGCACAGAGAGTACCTACAACAATGCTGTGTCATGCAAGACTTGCTTGCAAGGAACCCAAAAGAGCGTTTTATCACCTGCTTACAGAGCAGCAGAATCACAGAACCATAGAATGCTTTGGCTTGGAAGGGACCTTTAGAGGTCATCCAGCCCAACCCCCCTTCAGTGAGCAGGGATATCTGCAACTAGACCAGGTTGCTCAGAGCCCCGTCCAACCTGGCCTTGAAGGTTTCCAGGGATGGGGCCTCCACTACCTCTCTGGGCAACTTGTTCCAGTGTTTCACCACCCTTACCATAAAAATTTCTTCCTTGTATCTAGTCTAAGTAAAAAATTTCTTCCTTACATCCATCAAGCCAGAGCACTCATCACCTAGCCGGGGACACTGCCATGCTCATCTGCAGAGACAGCCTGCCCCGGTTTTGGAGCCCACAAGGACTAGACATAACTCCAACCTTCTTCTGAGCATCCATTCACTGGTGGCTTTTTTAACAAAAGAAGGAATTTAATGTTTGTTCCTTTTCCTAGCTGTGCTGTATGCCCTCAGCACATCTCCACACCACCTCTGCTTCTCCAGCCACCACTGCTGCTACCAGCACTGGCTGTGGAAACAGTGTCTAACCCAGCATTTGCCATCAGTGGGCTTCTCAGGTGTCAGCTAAGAGCGGGTCAAGGGATTTATTTTCCTACTCTCTGGGAGGAGAAGGACTATTATTGCTTTATTAATACAGAAAAACAACATTCTTCAGATTCATCTTGAAGACATCATTGACATCACATTCTTATTCCATTCACAGTTCATTTAACGCTGCCTGTCCTTTTGAAGCCAGGGGGAAGTCACTTCTCAAGCAGTAACACTCAAGCAAGAAGAGCACCTTGACAACATCTAAGTGGCATTACCTGAACTTCTTTAATCCCGTTTCTGGCCAGCCCAAACCACCACGCCAAGCTGCTGGCAGTGACCATGGTGCTGTTTGGGCAGCAGTAACCTCCAAGTGAGACCCAGTGCAGCAGCAGCAGTGGTGGTGGTGATGGTGGTGGGATGAGCTCTGTGGGCAGCACCCAAATTCCCCTGCACACCCAGAGCTGCTGCTTCCTCCCCATTAAAAAAATACTCTGCATGCCCCGTTGCCTGAGCAGGGCATCTCCATACAAGGCCACAAAGCTCTGAGATGACAGGTCCTCCAGGCTGATAGGAGCCCCATTGGCCCTCAAGGCTTACCTGGGAGCAGGTCTCCATCCAGGGAGGGTAGTGAAGACACCAGGTAATGTCACACATTTGGAGGATGCTCCAAAGCAGCAGGGAGTCTTGCTGGGACCTTCAACAGAGGAACCAAAAGCATCATCCACAAGCAAGAGGAGACTCCTTCCTACCACCTACAGGAGCTTCAAGTCAAGCAGAGATGTCAGCACCACAGGAACACCTCACTCAATACACCCACGGCAGCAGGGGTTCACAGTCCCACAGCCAAACCAACCCCTTCCCTAGGCCACATCCCCTCAGAGAGACATTCCCCAGGATGTCCAACCCCAAATCCCCATATGCAAGGATGGGGAGACAGTGAGGGGCCAAGCCACGCTCCTTCTGCACTTTAATATCTGAAGACAACATGGTCCCCCCAGCTTCCCTCATTTTAACAGCAGCCTGCAGGGGGAAACCACTACTTGGTGCCTGGCACAGCCTGTAACCCCTCCCCCCCCCCAAAAAAAAAAGTCCCCAGAAAGCACATAACCCTAGGCTCAC